AGATATTCTTAAAATTCCATGTACTTCAAAAAATTGAGTGGTGCTGGTGCACTGCCTTGAGCAACTGCCTTGAGTACTATACACACGACAAGGGTCCCACAGCAAGGTGGGCCATAGCGATTTGAGTCGAGGTTTTAAGGTCCGGCTCCAAACCGAAGATACTCGTACACGCGTAAATATAATCGTGCCTACCCCGTCCGTCATGCGCTTTCAGCAAACGCGGGCGCAGCCCAGGGCTACGGCCCGCTTCGCGCATCGCGTCAGCACTGCTTTCCGCTGGGCGCGTCTTGCCCAACATGTGGTCACAATGTGGTCACAAGGTGATTTGTAGGCGGTCACTATGAGGTCACTATGAGGTCACTATGAGGTCACTATGAGGTCACTATGTGGTCACTATGTGGTCACTATGTGGTCACTATGTGGTTACTATGTGGTCTCCCGCACAATACATTCAGTGCGGCAAGGCTCGGTCCGCTATCATACGACTGCTCCTTCAGCAACCCTCTCATGTAACCTTTCCTTTCCTTTTGGCGTGTAAGACCTAGAATATTTGCATCCCTTCCGTAGGATTTTCTCGCGCAGAGAAGGAAAGAACAGTGATGCAAGTATCCTTAGTTTAAGCGCCCCCCCCCCCACACACACACATACACTTCTCTTTTCCCCCGATGACGAAGTGGTCTTCTCAGGTGTGTAGGTCAAAAACACAACACCATTCGAGAATCAACAGGAGGAAAAAGAATGCTGCATGCGCGAACGCTGCTCGCGGTGCGTGGGAGCGAAAAAGAATAAGGCAGGGGCACGGGCACAAGTCCGAGTGCTTCGCAGGGGACAGGGATGGACAGTATAAGCGAGAGAAAGGGGAGAGGAAGGGAGAGGGCAAGTGAACGAGAGAGAAGGAGGGGGAAGATGCTGGGGTCCGTTATCAGGGGAGGGGGTCCCGTATAAAACGCCTCCTGGTGGACTGAATGCCATTCGCTTCGTGTTATTCAGAGTACCAGCAGCACTCTCGACCCGCCGCCAAAATGTCTGCCCTCCGCTTCATCCTTCTCTGCACCCTCTCAGTCTTCCTCTTCGCCCAGGTGAGTGTCCAGTGTGTGAGCAAAACGTCTTAAGACCTAGAAAACAGAGGAAAATATTCTTCAGCTGATACCTGTTACCTGGCGATATTCAATTCTTCCCTCAAGTAACCTTGCAAGAACAGTTTTTGTTTTTTACAACATCTTTTTTTCACGAAATTTGTCGAATATCACTGACATGTAACGGAAAGCCGCTTTGGATACACGGATATCCCCCGCCCTCCTGAAGGAAAAATGAAAAAAATATTCCGTCGCCTTGGTGGCAGTGTTTTATCCTTGCTCTGCGAGCTCTTTTCTTCATGCCGTTGTTCGTTTTGCAGTTCGTCCTGTCCAGACCGGAGGAGGAGGGATCCCTGAAGAGCGTGGAGGCCAAGGTGTCCGTGGCCGTGGAGGACCTCAAGAAGAACGTGGGTGAACTGTTCAATGTAAGTTACAGAAACTGAGCTTTGCTTCTTATTGGACTTTTTTGTTTAGCTTTGTTTGGTATTAATCAAACGCCTTCCTTTTATTTTTCCCCGTGCAGAACCTTACCACTTTCATCCAGACCGAGATCTCCAAGAACCCCGAGGCCTCTGACATCTACAAGAACATTACGAGCAGCCTGTCCGCCGTTGCCCAGCAGATGAAGGACGCCGTTGCCTCCGTCACTCCCAAGCCCTGAGAGGTTCCTGTCGAGAACAAAACACGAAATGCCAACCCAAAATTTATTTAAATATCATTTCCTTTTGAAGCTCTACATTTGACAATCTTCATTAAAAAAATAAATGTTTTAACCAACGTTGTATTTTGTATTAAATGTTATGCCAACATATGCCAAACAACCCTGACGACTCTCTGTACTCTCATGGTGGTTCACAGACCCCTTTGTTTGCATGCACTGCACCGCATGCAGACTTGCAGTCGGGCTTGCCTACCATAGCTCGCGGTATGCAACCCGGCCGTACGCCTGCATCCGGTACAGTATAAGCAAAATAAAGGGAGAGGTCTGTGGACCACCCTGTATACCGGGTGCTTCTTTGAATGCGTTCCAGTGTTGCAATCGCGCAATGTACTGAAGCGCATCCAAACAAATACGCGTTACAGGGAGAAGTGTGAATTGTACAAATTTGTCTCAAGTGACGGATTGTTGTAAGCATCATTTTGCTGGATGCAAAC